ATTTAAGAGTTTACAAGTATACATGTTACTGAAAATGGACTAAAATATGATGCTTTAACCAGCCGCCATAGCTTCACTTTGGCTGTAAGAATATAGACATTCAGTCTGCTGTGAGTCTGAAAACACGTGTGAATATGCATACATGTCTCCCGCCTCTGAGTCAGACGGTTGTGGGTTCAAGCCCCACATCTTGATTTTGAACTTGTGTAGTCTAAGCTGACACTACAGTGCAGTGCTGGAGTGCACTGTATTGTTAGAGGTGCCATTCTTCTAATAAGACGTTAAACCAAGGCCCCAACTGCTTGTTTGGCTAGACATTATAGATCCCATTGCATTATTCAAAAAGGGAAAGAAGTTTCTCCTGGTGTCATGGCAAGCAATCCTCCACATAAAATTGGTCACTCTTCATGGCTGTTTGTGGGACACGGCTGTATCAAATTGGCTGCTGCATTCGCACACAAAGCACACTTAGTCACACCACTTTATAGTATATTTTGTTAAGCGCTTTGAGACATCCTCCTGACCTGAAAGGTGCAATATCAAATGTAAGAATTGTTATTATTAACTGCAAGTCATAGGTTAAAGGTAACATAGTCAGTTCTGACGAAGGGTCGTGGACCCGAAACATTGACTCACTTTCCTCTCTCTATAGATGCTGCCTGACCTGCTGAGTGTTCCCAGCTCTCTCTGTTTTTGTGCAACATAGTCAGGTTCTTTTGATAGTTGGGACACACTTTAGAACATGATAATAGAGCACCTTGTTAAATTTCCAAGGCAGTTCTATAAAAGTTTGCATTAATTTCCAAGGAAATAATAAAAACAGGTTATGCCTTCAATGGGAAGAACTATAGTCTGAGTGCCATGGAAATCTTTATTTTGTCCCCTGTCTTGTGACTTTAGGTTTGAGGTGAGATTGAGAGAGAGAGAGAAAAGAGTTGACGCCACACCGAGACCCAGTAGGCTTCTGAGTTGACCTGTGTTTTAAAAGCAGCCACTGAGTTCCTCTCAGAGAAACCATGTTATTCAGGTGATCCTTGACAGAGCCTGTGGAATGGAACTGAAATAACTGGGTCCAACTTTTGATCTTTCTTATCGTATCACATGGGCTGACAGGAACACAGCTCCAACACAATCTATTTTGAGAGTTAGGGTTCTCGTGAGTCGGTGGAGTGTGTGACGTAGTTCTGATAACGGGAAACAGGCCCCACTGGCCCCACTTCCTCACTCAAATTTCCTAACGAAGAAATCCTGTTTAGGAATACTGCAAATTAGCTCCCAAAAGGCAATAGCTCTCAGCAGTGTGACCCAGATGGAGTGGAAAGTGCAATTTCTTCCCCTTCTTCTCTGAATGAACACTCTCTACTAGTTCGCCCGTAGTGGAGAAGCCAAGAGAAACAGCTCGACACTGGGCCTGCAAAGGTGTTTGTTTTAATGATGGAGAAAGAAAGGTTTATATTGCCACCACCTAATAAGCCAGCCATGCCCCAGGAATGTTGGCTATTATCCTAGAGAGTCACAATGAATTAGTTCCAAATAAAAATCCAATGCGCGGATCTGGAAATTAGGAAATGGGGCTTTCCTTTCTGACACAGTGAACTCAATTTGAATTCCTCATAAAGAGCCCAGAAAAGGTATTTAGTTATTGTGTTACATAGGAACCGAGGAACAGGAGTAGGCTATTGGCCCCATCGAGCATTGAGTGATTGACCCGAGAAATGAACGAGAAATGATATCATTGATTTGATTTTTTGAAAACATTAAGTTTTGCTGAACAAACAAGTTTAGCATGCATTTTATAGTGCTGAGACAAATCTAAGGTGACCTACATCAGAGCATGAAACGTGTGTATGATGAAGTAATGTCGATTAGTCAGGGTGGAGGAGGAAGTGGTGGACCAAATGCTCGATGGGCCCAATAACCTACTCCTCATTGAAGGTCTCCATTCAATTTGGAGATATTATTTAGGAAAGCAACAATGATAATAATTTACATTCATACAGCAACCTTCACTCAGGAAGCATGTCAGAGCTTTGTACAGCAGTGGGGTTGGACATAGAGCAAGGGAGAAGGTGGAGCTGACCATAGCTAGGGTCCAAGAGGTCAAAAGGTAGTACTTCAAGATAGATAGAGATGGTATTGCAGAGGAATTGAGGCAGGGAGCTCCAGTGGTTAGGGATGTAATGGCTGAGGGTACGGCTACCAATGGACCCGCATCAGACTTGTGTTAGCTGAGCGATGCAGAAGGGCAGAAGAGTGGGGGACAAGCAGGTTAGGCAAATTCAATAAACTAATCATCTCCGGGACATCTGTTATTAAATAGAAATACACACGCAATTGTATACATCACTGCTGAAGCCATATTTGGAATATTTTGTGGTATTCTGGCACCCTACGTTCAAAAAAGTTTTATTATAATAGCAATTGTTGCATTTAATATCATGCTTTTCACATCGGACAGCTGTAAAGCTGTAAAGTGTAAAGACTGGTGTATTTTGCAGGCAAAAAATGGCAACCAATTTGCATACAGCAATGTCCCACAAACAGCCGCAAAATCAATGATCAATTTTACTTGAGGTTAAACTTCACATTTGAAGGACAGTATTTCTCTATTGGACATGCTCATCATCCAGAATTTAGTACTTATAGGATAAGACTCATTCTCTAATGATAATCTTTACATTCGGTATAGCATCTTTCACATTGGTAGGATGTCTCAAAGTGCTTGACAGGATTTACTGTAAAATGTAGTGCATGTCTGTTTGTAGGCAAATGTGGCAGCCACGTCCCACAAACAGCCATGAAATGAATGACAAATTTTATCTGGGGGATTGTCGGCCAGGACAATGGGAGAAATTCCTTTCTGTAGCTCTGTTTTTGTTCATGTGGAAGTTGAGGTAGTATTTGTCACAAGGACTCCAGGGTTTAACTAGACGGGTCAAAGAATTGCCAAAGACGAGTGGAAACCCTAAAAAAAAGTATAGCCCTATTTATTACCATTGGCAGCTTTACATTTTTCTGTAAACTTCACATCCACCCAATCACAGCTTTGTTTGGCAGACTGTGCAGAAATAACAACCTCTTGCTCCTGGCCTCAGTGCAGGCCAAACCCATGTACATATCAGCAAGCAGGACAAAGTTGGCTCATTCTATTGCAAGAGCCAAACCAGAGAGATGTGAGTGAGTGGCTCTCAGTCCTCCATAAGGTCATGAATGGTGCAGCGCTCTAAGGGTTGCTGGTGCTCAGGCCAGACCTCAACATTTATGTTAGCGGAGCAAGTGTTGTATGGAAGCGTTTGTCTGGAAATCCCAGCTGCACATTCCACTGCTCCTTCCTACGCAAGTCTCTTCCCAAACAGCCATCACCTGGAAATCTGTTGTTTGTACACAGAAAATAAAAGGCAGAGTTAAGCGTCACTGCACAGACCAGGGTTCTCGGAGAATACATTAGGCAATGGAAATTCTTCAAAGTGCCATTGGCAACCCGTCCAGTTTATTCCACTTGTTCCATTGCTCCTGATTCCCATCAAGGTCACATTTATGAGACTTGGTCTCATGAGATGTGTGTTCACGATGCCATTCCTGCCAGCTGCACCATGCTATGCCGTCCAATATTAATAGACTTTATAGACCAAATCTTTGTCTGCAATGAGTAGCTACAGACAGAATCCAATTCCTGTACGTCCCTCTGTGAGTGGTTTGCGTATGTCTGTGCACACGTCTCCTTTTTTTTTGGTTACGTGGAATATTTAAGTTTCATGTTTATGGAATGGAAACAGACGACAGAGACAGCCACAGAGGGTTGACTTGGTTCTGACATTCTGTTACCAAACCTGAAATCTGAGATTGATAGATTTCTTGTGGATAAAGGGATTAAGGCATATGGGGATAAGGCGGGTAGGTGGAATTAGAATAGATCAGACATGATCTTATTGAATGGCGGGGCAGTTGGAGGGGCGAATGGCCTACTCCTGCTCCTAATTCTTATATTCTTATGTTCTATGTTCAAACACATGCCAGCTCAGAATGTACAACATACAATATTTGGTGGGAGGGGGCAGGAGACAGGGTGGTAACACAGTGTTTGTGTAAATACTAACCAACTCAGGCGACTCATTATATACATAATAGTGGAATCCTGTAGCTCAGTGGTTGGAGTACTCACCTCACAAATGAGAGAACTGGGTTCGATTCCCGGCAGGGTGAAATGTTGGGCAAGTTTCCTTACTCTACACTCCTGTCTATCTAGCAGTAAGTAGGAACGGGGTTATTAGTCGATTGACTGTATATTTTGTGGGTGAAATGAGGCAGTCTATGGCAGTGTCCCACAAACAGTCATGGATTGAGTGGCCAAATTATTATTTTATATGTTTCTTTTTTGAAGCGATCCGCCAATTGACTCTGTGCTCTGAGACGCCGTCGGCGTGGAGGGTGCTATATAAATCCAAGTTGTTGTTGTTGACTAACAACCAGGATCCTACTTACTGCAAGGAAAACAGAGGCATGTGCAGCAAGGAAACTTGCCTAAAGTTTCACCCTGTCCAGGAATTGAACCCGGGTCCACTTGCTTGCGAGGCGAGTGCTCTAACCAATACGCTACAGGACACTTTGGAATTAGGTGATCAGGGTACGTCCCTCTGTAACGTTTCCAATGCACGCAGTTTGGTTCGGATACTCTTTTCTGGTATCTGGCCACAGATTTCCAGGTGTTTCAGACAACCAGGCTGATCACAGAGTAAAAATAATTCAAAGCAGGGTATTTTTTTTTTGTGTGTGTGTGTGGGTGGGTGTATATGTGTGTGTGTGTGTGGAGGAGGGGCTGGAGCATTCTCCCAGGTGATTGCATGGCTGGATGGAGTTCAAGGTGAAGGGAGGGACTGTGTGTGTGCAGTGATGTAGCATTTTGATGTGATGGAGAGAGATTCCAAGCAGTACCTGCTCAGTGCTGCTGCTGATGCAGGCGCCTGGATCACAGCATCTCCTCCCAGTATCCAGATTGCCAGTCTCTCTTCATTTTGCATAAGCGGATGTACTGGTCATGATGCAATGTGGTTGCCTACAGGGCTTGGGTGGGGGTTGTTTGGGTTTTGCAATAACAAGCGGCCTCGTCTGTCTCTGCTGCTGTGTCTGGTGTGTGTGTGTGTGAGGCTGGTACCCTGAGCACACGGTGTGTGACTGCCTTGTTAAAGGGCTCTGCATCTCCCCAGTCCATGGGGAACCTCCACTCAGGGGTGAAAGAGTGTCTGAGCTCTGGCTTGGGTAAGGACTGGTTTAACCCCTTTGGTGACAACCTTCCAATGACACAGGTAAGGATGTGCCAGGTTTTTTTTTTTGGGGGGGAGGTATTTTTTAGATCTATATCTAAAAAATATATATATTATATATAATAAGCATTATATAAACAATATGAAAGGAATGCATCACTGTGAGCTGATCTGTAATGGCATATACATAATATATATACAGGTATATGTAAAGGGTAGATTATTTATGAGCTAGGCTATAATAGCATATATATTTATATATATATATATTGCAGCTTTGGGAATGAATACTCAGCCAGTTAGATACATTATTGTACTTATAATACATGTATGTTTAAAAAATATATATAAACCAATACATGTATCTACAGTGATATGTAGTGCAGCATTGGGAATGCATATTCAGCCAATTATATATGTTATGGTACACCAATTCCCCTTACAGTTTATTCTGTAAAGCGCTTTGAGACATCTCGAAGATTTAATAAGGCGCTATATCAAATGCAACAATTATTATAATATATGGACAATTTGAAATATATATAGATCATATATGTATGTATAAATATATATGTACAATAAATTATATATAGTGCAGAGTTGAGAATGAATATTCAGCCAGTTATATACAATATGGCATGTATAATAATGTATAAAAAATATGAAAGCAGATCATTGTGAGCTGATCTGTGATATCAGACCAGGACTGCATTTCTAACAAATTTGGTTTCCATTATTTGACATTAAGAATTAGAGATTGAGAGAGTGACAGACAAACACGTGTGTGTTTGTTGCCTGTATATTTCGCTTTTTTTGATGGAGAAGGGAATTTGTGTAGATCCCAAAAGATCAAATGGATGCTGACTTGTTATTTCAGTAAGAGAGTTTATTCTCTGCATGATGTTAACTTGATTATTTCTTCATGTGCATTGCGGGCAGCTGTTTGTCAATATAGATTAATAATTGTCCTTGTTTGGATCATACAAGGACTGGCTGAGCGTAAGACTGGCTGAGTGTTCATTCCCACTGCTACACTATATTAAGTTGTATTAATTCGGAATAGGAATCTTAATGCAGTAATAATAATCCTTGCATTTGATATAGCGCTTTTCACATTCTTCTCAATGTCTCAAAGCACCTCACAGATTATAATGTAAGGTGAATTAACTGTAGTAGCCAATTGCGCACAGCAGTGTCCTACAAAAAGTCATGCATTTAGTAACCAAACTATTATTTTTTTTCTTGAGGGATTATCAGGTGTGTGGAGTAAGGAAACTTGTCCAAGGTTTCACCCAGCCGGGAATCGAACCCATATCTTGCTTGTGAGGCGAGTGCTCTAACCACTCAGCTACAGGACAGAGCTAATGATTAAATAACTGATGTAAACCTAACATGACATTCTGTCTAATTGTGACCAGGGCTCCCTCTGTCTCCTTGACCTTCTTGATCTCTCCACTGCCTTTGACAATGTTGACCAATCTATTAGTCTCCATTGCCTCTCTTCTCAACTCTAAGTGGGGTCTCCTTGAACTAGCTCCAAGGTGACATGCCTGGTAACTGAATGTCAGAATCGAGCCAGCCCTCTGTGGGCGTCTCGGTAGTCCGGTTTCTGAGCCAGGTGGATCCACAGTATTCCAGGCCACAGCCAGCCTTGCGCATTGGCAGGATGTGGAAGGGCAGACCAGTCACTGGGGGCAGGGAGTCATCCCACTCAGCTCCCGATAACCGTACAACCCAAAGTCCTTGCAGGTAGGTTGGTCCTAGCTGGACAATCAGTGGGAAAGCTAGCCAGACAGCGATATCAATAGCAAGCAACGCGGGTTTTAGCTGGTTAGGCTCCATTAATACCCCAATGCACAACCTGGGGTCCCCAAGCATTGGCTCTTGCCAATTTGCACCTAATTATTTCCGGAATTAGGGGAGGATGTATTTCTCCATGGAGAGAGTGCGCATTCCATTCCAACAAACTATCTCTGGGATTTCCATGTGTAGTGGGATGCGTGGAAATCTCAGCTTGATTTGGATACTCTTAAGCATGGTGATTGGTTACCGCATGTGAATTTACTGTATATTTTGTGGGCGAAACACGGTAGCCAATTGCACACAGCAGTGTCCCACAAACAGCCGTGGATTGAGTGACCAAATTATTTTTTTTTAAAAACGGGATTATTACCCTCAAAAAAAGATCCGCCAATCAACTAGCAACTGGGATCCTACTTACTACTTGGTAAACAGAGGTGTGTGGGGTAAGGAAACTTGACGAAGGTTTCGCTCTGCGCAGGAATCAAACCCAATTCAATTACTTGCGAGGCGAGTGGTCTGCAGGATGCCATGGGAGCATTAAGAAGAAGTGCAGCATTACATTCCCCCCCTTAACATTTGATTGCCATTTCAATAACATTATATAATATCTCAGAGTAAAAATGCCTGTCAAGTCAAACGTGACCTTTTTAGGGCGTTTTGGCAGGGCTAATGTAGTTGTGTATTTCCTCATCTGGTATTCTGATTGTCTTTCCCAGTGAGGAATACTTGACATTGGCTAATGGACTAATGTTCAATTTTTTTTCTCAAAATGATGACTTTTCCAGGAGAACTTTGTCAATGCCGTGTTAATCTTCCTATCAACACTTCCACAAATCTGGGGTCAGCCTAACCTGCGGTACTCTTAGTCCTTTGGATAACTTGTGAATGCCATCTGTGAATGCATTCTTCTGATTTTACCTTCTCTCTTGTCCTCAATTCACTATACATGATGTGGGTGAGAGACTTAGGGAATAAAAACCCTGGGAAACATTAGAGAAGATGGGTTAAATAATGCAATTTTTCACAGCAGATTTAATTACCTTGTTCCTTAGTGCAGTGGTCCAAACCTGAACATTTCCGCCCTGCGTTCCTGCTCCCGACCATGAAGATCACCAGTTCAGTGCATCTAACTATAGAATATCCATTTGACTTGATCTGATCTATGTTCTGTGAAACTGCTCTCAAAAAAATGGCTCCAGGATCCCAAAAATAAACCGGGATCACTAAGAGACAAACTAAATGATGCTGATATGTTTTGAAAACTACCTTTTGAACAATTGCTGTGCTGAAGTCAATGCATCTTAAAGTCAAATAAGGTCACTGCACTTTGCAGTAAATCCTCTGAAACGCTTTGAGATTCCCTCCTGATGTGAAAGGTGCTGATATATAATAAAAATAATAAGCCTTGCATTTGATATTGTGCCTTATCATGTCATTGAGACATCTCAAAGTGCATTGTAAAGACTGTATATTTTGTCGCAAAATGCAGCAGACAATTGTGCACAGCGATGTCACATCAAATTTAAGGATTATTGTTCTGAATCCCTACTGTCATTTATTAGGTTATTGTTAAATTAAAGAAATGTTCAATTTTCTTTCTGATGATTGACTCCATCAATTCTCCAATTAATAGTCTAATAGACCTGCATTTGCCGGGTCTGGTTCTGTCACCTTTATTGCATGTGGGAACTACATTTGGTTGCTTCCGGTCTATTGGAACCTCACCGGTGATGATTGACTCACTCATCATGTATGTCAGTTTGTACTTATCTGGTTACCTTTCATCTGTGCTGGGGGATTTATTGGGTTTTCAACCTCTTTAGATCTTCAGCTTCATTAATCATAGAATTGCAGAATCTTACAGCACAGGAGGAAGCCATTCAGCCCATCATGCCTGTGCCGGCTCTTTAAAAGAGTTATCTAACTATTCCTATTCTCCCACTCTTAACCCATAGCCCTGCAATTTTTTTCCTTTTCAAGTATACATCCAATTCCCTTTGAAAAGCTGCTATCGGATCTGTTTCCTTCACCCTTTCAGGCTGTGCATTCCAGATTGTAACAACTCGCTGTGTAAAAACATTCTGCTCGTCTCCTTTCTGGTTCTTTTGAAATTATCTTAAAGCTGTATCCTCTGGTTACTGACCCACCTGCCAGGGTAAAATGTTGCTCCTTATTTACTCTTTAACAAAACCCTGATGTTACCTAATGGCCTAATGATAACAACAACAACAACAAAAATTACACTTGTAAAGTGCCTTTCACATCGGGAGGACGTCTCAAGGTGCTGAACAGTCAGGGATCAGGACCTGAGCATGAGAGGGCAGGTTTGGGATGAGGAAGGGCAGAGAGGTAGGAGGGCGTCTGAAGGCACGGTCGAAAAGGAGGTTCTTGAGTCGTGCCTTGAAGGAGGCAAGGGAGCGAGCAAGGCAAAGGGATTGTGGGATGGAGTTCCAATGGGTGGGGGCAGAGAGGCAGAAAGCCCAGCCCCGATGACAGGGTGGATCAGGTGGGAGAACTGGAGCAGTCCGGAGCCTACTGAGAGAAGGGAGCGGACAGGTTGATAGGGTGTCAGCAGATCAGAAAGGTAGGAGGGGGCAAGACCGTGGAGGGCCTTAAAAGTGAGGACGAGGATTTTGAATTCTATCCTCTGAGGGATTGGGAGCCAGTGGATCCGGGCGAGGATTGGGGCAATGGGGTCACGGAGCCTGGTGGAGGAGAGGACATGAGCTGCAGAGTTCTGGATGAACTGCAGTTTGTGGAGGGAAGAGTTGGGGAGGCCGACAAGGAGGGAATTTCCGTAGTCGAGCCTTGAGGTGACGAATGTGTATATCAGGGTTTCGGCAACCTGAGGGGTTAGGCAGTGAGTAAGACTCAGGCAATCTTGCGGAGATGAGGGAAGGCAGAGTGGGTCAATATGTTAAATGTGTTTACTGGATGTTGGCAGGCATATTTTTGGTGTCCTCCATGGTTTTAAAAAAAATCTCTAGGGCAAGTAGTTGTTAAATGTATTTGTGGTCTCATTATTATTCTCTTATTCAACATTTATGTCCCTTATGGTTTGAACTTTATCTCCAAATACCCTCTTACTCTTATAGCATTGAAAACATTTATTTGGTACTATATTCAGGGAAATGATACCTTTCATTGAAGGAAGCTGTTTATGAGAATTACACATGGGGTTGGATTTCTTTGAGTTCTGTTTGTTAAGTGAAGGTAAACATAGACTGCAACTTGGATCAGTACAGGTCTTCGCATGATTCATGGCATTTTACAGAAAGTATAAGATTTGGAACAGTAAAACTCACATAAATCTTGTCTAATTGTATAATTGCCCAAGTCATGTGTCCGTCCAAGTACCATTTAGTTTCCTATCAAAACCACTTAGATTTCTTTGCGCTAGTCATAATAATCATCTCCTAACTCGTAACACTGCTCCTCGATCCTCCATTAATCCTGCAGTTACTAGTTGATTTGAATCTTTTTGACCGCGCCTTTGGTCACCTTCCTCCCCCTCCCCCTGGCTCGGCCCCGGGATCCGTTATTGTGAAGTGCTCTGAGACGCTGTCCGGCTATATAAATCCAACTTCTTGTTGTTGAAATTATGTCCTGATCCATCGACGCATGCACAGAAGATCTTCATTTCCTGTGATTCATTGCTATTCCAATGGTTGCAGGAAAGTGCATGCGACGACGGCTCAAGATTTATTGAATCGCGGGAAATGTAGTCTTGACATGTCACTCACTGCATGTGCACCTACCGGCTGCATTGAATTAACCACGTGCAATGTAATTATTGATTAAATCGGGTTTTCAACGACTTATACAAGTTTGCCTGCAACTCGTACTTTACTAGTCATATTAAATGTTATAGTTCTGACTCATATGACTTATGTGAGTTTTACTATAATTCATGCATCATAACTTCAGTTAAGTTTTATATACCTGTGCTCCGCAAAACAATTTGGTCATTCACTTAGCTGGTTGTGCGATATTGCTGTGTGCAAACTGGCTCTTGCATTCATCTGCAAAATCTAATGATAATCATAATGCTTGCATTTGATGTAACTCCTTATGAAAATATAGTCACTATAATCACAATAAGTCCTGAGACATCCTCCTGATATGAAAAGCACTATACTAAATCAAAGCTGTTGTTTTCTCTAGAATTATGTTACACCAGCCCTTCCTGAGCACGTCAAAATCGTTGAAGTTGGACCAAGAGATGGCCTACAGAATGAAAAGGTGTATTTACATGGTCATTTTGACTATTGAATGCCATGAGTTTTAGCTTTTGCTATGTGTTTTTAATTGATTGATATTTTGCATACAGTTTTGAGTCAATATTTTCAAGATTCTTGTGGCTACCACAGATCCTTTGTTCCTCCCATTCCTGCTCTTCTGGTTCTATCAATTCTGCCTCGAGTTAGTCTTCAATGGTAAACAACTATTTTCTTAACCAAGGCCATTTGGTGTAGCTCAAGGCTTAATCCCTGCTTTACAATTTAATTTTTTGTATCAAACTGAATCTCAAATCAAGTTAAATGCAGAAGGATTAAGAGAAATCATTCATTTTCATTAGCAAGAGAAATTAAGACAATCAGCCATCGAATGAAAACATATCTTCCAAACAATTCCATTCATTCCATCCTTCTTATTTTCCTAAATGCGCTTCCATGAAATTGTGTGTAATGAGTAACCGCCAACTGGAATTCAGATGCACATTGATTCCTTGGATCTGAGGGGATTACGGTTGATTTGGTTGAAGTCTTATTTGCTGCTGCATTTCGCCCACAAAGCACACAGTCAATGCACTTTACAGTATATTCTGTGAAGTGCTTTGAGATGTCTCAACAACATAATATGGCGCTATATCATATGCCAAGATTATTATTATTAAATGACGAAGGGAATTGAGACTGCTGTGTGCAATTGACTGCTACGTTTTGCTCACAAAGTATACAGTCAATTCAGATTACAGTATATTCTGTGAAGTGTAAATGTGTGCAGATTTACATTTATGTAGTGCTTTTCGCCCTGTTATAATTATAATCCTTCCATTTCACATAGCACCTTATCACGTCTTCAAGATATGTCAACGCGCTTTCCAGAATATAGTGTAAAGTGAATTGACTTTATATTTTGTGGGTAAGAAATGGAGCCAATTGCACACAACTGTGACCCAGCAACAGTCATGGATTGAGTGATTACATATTTTTTTTGAATGGAGTATTACCCCCGGAAAAGTGATCTGCCAATCATCTAACAACCAGGTTCTTACTTAATGCTGGATAAACAGAGGTATGTGGAGTAAGGAAACTTCTCTAACGATTCGTCCTGCCTGGAACTCAAGCCCAGTTTCTCTCGCTTGAGAGGCAGTTGCTTTAACCGATATGAGCTACAGGACTCCACATAATGCTGCTTGAAATATTTAGGACTGTAGCTAGTAATGTTATAATAGACTTTATATACTATACTTTACTTGACATCAGTTCCATGTAGCATGTTTGACATTAAAGGCACTTTATGAAACACAAAGATTATAATTATTTTTATGACTTTTGAAATATAATGCTTTCAGGAAATTGTACCAACTGAAGTGAAAATCAAGTTGATCGAGCTTCTGTCAGACACAGGATTATCAGTTGTTGAAGCCACCAGTTTTGTATCTCCAAAGTGGGTCCCACAGGTATGTAGAACAATAGTTAATTTGATTGCATAGTCTTCAATTTAGCATTATGTAAATAGAGACTGACATCTTGCAACAGATGAATATTCTAAGGTCTATTCTTTAGAGGAATCAGAGCATTTGTGCAGAAGGTCTAATTGGAAGATAGTGTGTATGGGGTGGAGACCCTGGTGGGGATATGATGGGAGTATTGTGTTGGAAGGACTGATTTGATGATTTTTCTCATTCCTTGTTTACTTTTGTTATGTACGAGGAGGTCTGTAGGAAACATTGATTACTTTAAGAAGGAGGGACATGGTTAAAGACTAACATTTATGCATATCATGCAGCATAGTGGGAAAGGATTGTCATTATTAATGCAATTGATCCGTTTCGCGACACAAAAAACAATTATTTGCTAAATGTTCCTCCATCACTGAAAACATGCGTTGCTTTAATAAGAACATAAGAAATGTTAGATGAAAAAAGACCAAGGTCTATCTACTTCGCCTTCCCCCTTCCTGGCAGTCGCATGCACATATGTCCCAAACTAAATATGTACTATATCCCTTAATGTTCTTTCCTAAAAGAAAACAATCTAATCTATGTTTAAAAGAATCAACACTTCCTGCTTCAACCGTCTCCCTAGGGAGCCTGTTCTACAGGTTCACTATTCCCTCACTGAAATAGTGTTTGTGTAGATTTGTTCTGAATTTACCCCCCTTCAATCGCAGGCCACGTTCTCAGGGTCTACTATTCTTGACAAGTTGAAACAGCCTGTCATGATATATATTGTCTTGCCCCTTTAGAATCTTTAAGACAGCAATCATGCCACCTTTCAATCTTCACTTGTCTAGCATGAACATGTCCAATTTACTTAGTCATTCCTCATAGTCCAGTCCCTCCATTCCCTCAATCATTTTGGTTACCCTCCCCTGTATCTTCTCGATTTCTCCAATATTCTTTTTGTACTGCGGTGATCAGAACTGTACACAGTACTCTAAGTATGGTTTCACCAATGATTTATACATTGGCTGGATTAGTCCACTATTTTGGCTTGCTGTTGAACTTTTGATACATCCCAACATCTGGTTTGCTTTACTCACTGCCACGGAACATTGCTGGGAGAGCTTCAATTTATTGTTAATAAGGACCCCCATACATATTTCCATACATATTATTTTCCTCCCATTCAAATAATAGTCTCTTCCAGGATTTTTTGTCCCCATGTGAAGTACTTTACATTTCTCCACATTGAATTTCGTCTGCTGTTGATCTGCCCAATTCCCAAGCATGTTCCAATCCTCCTGTAACCTATCTTGTTCAACTTCGCAATCTACCACCTTCATTGGCTTGGTGTCATCTGCAAACTTAGTCACTGTGCTTGCCACTCCTAGTTCCAGATCATTTATAAAAATATCCAACATAAGAGGTCCCAAATCAGACCCTTGTGGAATTCCACTGGTAACATTTATTCCAGACTGATGACATTCCCTGTAACCACCACCCTCTGGATAAGGTTTAGAATAAAGACAAATACAATTTATAATTAACCAGCACCTTTCACATCAGGAAGATGTCTGAAACTGCATTCATAGTATTGGATTAGCACCTGAGCTGGAGGTGGGAGTTGAGGGTGGTGGAGCGGGGAAAGATTACCGAAAGCATGGTCAAAGAGGTAAGTATCGATACGGTTCTTGGAAGGGGGAATGGAGGGAGCGAATTGGAGGGACTCCAGGATGGTTTAATTACATTATCTGTGTTATGTAAATCTTTACTAGTATTGCAGATGAAGCAGCAAGAAAGGGAAAAATAATGTAAGTCTCCAAATTCATTCATTGCTATTTATTCTGCAGGAATTGCAGTTGCATATCAAGACTTTCCATCAAATAAAAAAGTTTATTTGAGAATTGTATGATGAGGTCATGTAGAAAGTTGTGCAGGTTTAAAGAAACATTCAAAAGAGTTCAGAGTGGGTTCTCAAAATATATACACATTTAAAGAAATTAATGTTGGGCATCAATCTTTCCTAGTATTGTTTTCACTCTTCGCGCAACTTTACCTCTGCCTCTCTGTTTCCTTGACATAATGTTTACTTTTTTTCAAATTTATAAATTGTACATTAAAAGGGAAATTGCCTGCGTGCTGATCCAAGATTTATTTTAGACCGTGGCTTAACCAGAAACATATTTCTGCTTGCAAAAACATTTTAAAGAGTTCTGAAAGGATTCTGAATCATCTGTTTCAGTTCACGTCAAATGTGTCAGTTTTCAACACCATTTACTTTCTCTTATTTATTGTTTTCTAAGTTCTTCAAGACACTTTTATGAGCTTGGAGAGTTGCAGGTTTATGCAAACGAATTGTGAAAGCAAAGCATACACCCTTCTGTTTTCTCCAAGCATAGAGTCAAAGTAAAAAGTCAAAGCAAATAAATTAATGTAGGCTAAGCGTTGTACTAGGATTTAATGCATGCTCCTTGACTTCTGGAAAAAATGTTGACATTAGCTTTGCAATCAAACCCCATGCATAATTAATGTTGATAATAGAACATTGAAATCATCACAAGGAATCCCATTTAGCTTCAGTAATGAATGTTTCACATCGCTCACAATACTCTTAACATCAAGCCAAACATTCAGATCAATTGCAACCATCACAGTTAAGTCAAGAATTGGAGGATAGAGGAAGAGGTGCTGACCAAGAACAACAAATACTGCCTGGGGCACAATGGTAACGCATACATTTATATATTGTATTATAGACTATTCAGTGTGGAAACAGATCATTCAGCCAAACCAGTCCATGCCAGTTTTATAACTCACACAGGTCTCCATCCACTCTTTACCCCGCTCTATATAGGACATTATTCCTTCAATAAAAATAAATTGGTCACTCAATCTACGACTTGTTTGTGAGACACTTCTGTGTGCAATCGGATGCTGCACTTTGCCCACAAAATATACAGTCAATTCACTTCACAGTATATTCTGTGAAGATCTTTGAGATGTCTTGAAGACGTGATAAGACTCTGTATCAAAAATGCAAGGAAGGATTATTCTTCTATTCTTGCTCCCTCATGTGTATATCTAGCTTTCTCTTCAATGCATTGGATGCTGACAGGAGGAGGAAGAGTTGAGAACATTTCTGAAGGGAAGGAATCCAGGTTTATTCAGGGATGTAAATGGATGAATAAATATTCTGGTGTTTTTGTTTGATCTCTTCACCCAAAGGGTAAATAACAACTGGAAAGGGGTTACCGGTGAGGCCTGTTGAAGCCAAAAAGCTCATTGTTGTGATGGGAGTATGGGTATTCTTGAAGGATAAAATCAGATGAGCCAAAGGACCTTCTTCAACCAAACTAACCTTGTTATCTTTTGATTACCGTGGGTAATAATTCCTCCAAAATAAATGAAAAAAATTATTTGGTCACTAAATCCTTGATTGTTTGCGGGACACTGCTGTGTGCAATTTGCTGCCGTGTTTCACACACAAAGTATACAGTCAATTCAGTGTATAATGTACTCTGTGAAGCTCTTTGAGACGTCTCTAACACATGATGAGAGGCTATATCAAATGCAAGAATTATTATTATGAATGAGTGACTCCTCTAACAAATGGGCATTTTCTCACCTGTTGGTTGGAACGCCAGGACATTTCAGGAAACCAGAAATTCTGACCCACCACATATTTATTGCTGGGTGTTAGGAGGGGCTGAAGTTGTGAAGGGAGCTACGTGAGATTTCCAGAAATGTTGATTGTCTCGGTCAAGTGCTCATTTTAAAATCTCACTGGTATCAACTAAGTCCTGCCACAGTGATTTAGGGTTATAAGAGGACAAATAGTGGAGGTCAAATCATGGATTATTCCTACTGGTCAGAGAGATAGTTACTGTAAGGCAGAGATTCAAGATCCATCACAAATTAAGGAAAGGTTAGAAAGAAAATTCTTTGCACGCAGGGTGGTGAGAATATAGAATTATTTGTTACTAACCCTAGTTCTGGCAGAATCTATGGACTATTTTTAAAGGAAATTGGAATGATTCCTGAAGAGGGATATTGAAGAGCAGAATAATGGTAAGGGCAGTGAGTTGAAGAATGGGTTTAGATTGACTCATACAGAAATAAACACTATTGCAGGTATTATAGGCTGAATGACATGTTCTGTATATATAATAATTCTTGCATCTGGTATAGCACCTTATCCATGATAATCCGTTTCGCCCACAAATATACAGTCAATTCACTTTACAGTATATTCTGTGAAGCGCTTTGAGATGTCTAGAAGACGTGAAAAGCGCTATATCAAATGCAAGGATTATTATTTATTATTATTATTATCAGGTCTTTGAAACATCTCAAAGCATTTCACAGATCCTTTCCTTTAATTTGTGAAGTGTAGTGATTATGTATTTTTAAGCAAATGTGGTAGCCAATTTGCATACTCCATAGCCTTGCAATTGTTTTCCTTTTCAAAAGAAAATTCTCCTTATCCCCCTCTGGTTCTTTTGGCAATTATCTTAAATCTGTGTCCTCTGGTTACCGATCCACCCGCCAGTGGAAACAGTTTCTCTTTATTTACTCTATCAAACTTCCTCAATTTTCTTTCTATTGTTCTGCTCACAGATAGATACTGTCTATGAAGTTGAGTACATCAATGCCATTTGATTCTTATGGCTTGCATTTCTTGTATTTCAGTGGTGTTTGTTAAAAATAATGTACTTAGATGACGCAGTGAATTGGTATCGCACAATGATGGATTGGGAGCTTGCCTTAGAGCTTCTCATTTCACTGAGTTCTCATTCACAATCAGAAAAGGATAAGAGAAATGTGCCTGGAGACTCATTCCTATCTATTCTTATGCTATTCATTACAGAGCAGCAGATGGTTACTAGAAAACATATAGGACATGGGGGACTTGAACGAAGGAAAAATAAGTAAAGCAAACCAGAAACATTTATTAGTAATAATTTGATGCAGTTCCTTTTCCCTTCATTGAGACGTCTCAAAGCGCTTCACATAATGTATTGCAAAGTGATTGACTGTGTATTTTGTGGGCAAAATGCTAATTGCGTACAGCAATGTCCCACAAACAGTCATGAAGTGAATGAACATTTTTTTTGTTGGGAGTGGGGGGGATTATTACCTCCGGAAAGTGATCAACCAATCGACTAACAACCAAGATCTAACAACCTCTATGTAAACAGGCGTGTGGAGTAAGGAAATTTACCCAAGGTTTCGTCCCACCCAGGGATCGAACCGGGGTCCTCTCGCTTGCGCGCTCACTTTGGTCCCAATTCTGACCTTCCTGATTCATTGTGATCCCAGTTATTAAAGGATAAGCTATGATCAGTGATTAGATGAGATATGGCCCTTTTAGGCTTCTTAAGAGACATTTCAGAAAGGACTTTCAGATGTATATAAGATTCTATATTCAAATGATAAAGCTAGCTTAGCACAGTATTCTACATACTCCGAGCAGAAGGGCAGAGGTTCAGGATTGCAAAGAGCAATTCTGGGAAGCATGAAGCATCCTTTTATCCAGAGATAACTTAAAAACTGGATCAGGTTGCTAGGAAGTGTGGTTGAGGCCACGAGGCTCACTTTGAAGAAACAGCTTGATGCTGTGATGGGACGGTGGGTATTCTGGAAGGAAGAGGTCAAATTGCCCACAAAATATACAATCAATTCACTTTACCATATATTCTGTGAAGCACTTTGAGACGTCTCAATGACGTAATAAGACACTATATAATAATAATCCTTACATTTGATATAGTGCCTTATTCAATACAAAATTACATTTGTACAGTGCCTTTCACGTGGTGAGGATGTCTCAAAGCGCTTTACAGAATATGCTGCAAAGTGGAGTGACTGTATTTTGTAGGCGAGTCGCGGGAGCCAATTTATATCAAATCCGAGGATTATTATTCTTTATCCGAACCTCTTTTTGTGATCTTGTAATCTTCAACTAATTGAGCTAGCGAGGATAAAACAAGTATTTCAATGAGAAATGTAATGAATTTCCGTTAGTCAGTCATCACTCTAATCTAGTTGTAACCAGCCTAGTTATGATGCACACCTTCAACGTGCACAGGCATCAGCTTGGTACACACCTCTGTGTCAGAAGGGTATGGGTTCAAGCCTGTATCAGAAATTTGACCTTATAAGCTAGACTGATGCTGCAGTACTGTACTGGAGGAATGCTGCTTAATTGAAGGTGCTCTCTTTTGGATGAGGTGCTATATTGAGGTCCCATCTACAGTACAATATATAATCACATTTGTATAGCGCCTTTCACGCCAGGAGGATGGCCTAAAGTGCTGCATTAGCTACCTAATTAGCTACTTGTTAAAACTTCCTTTATGCTGTTCAAACACAGAAGAGAATTGCTCCTGGTGTCTTGACTAATAATCCTCCACATAAATTAGCATGCGCTTTCTGTTAATATGTAGTACCTTACTGGATGCATTTGTCTACAGATATATTTGTAACATATATAAAATATATACATGATGTTTGCATAAATGAGGTAAAAGGAAATATTGGAGACAGGTTTAGGAGTGGTCGGGGTTCATGTGAAATATAAATACTGGCAAGGATTAGTTGAGCCAAATGGCCTGATTCCATGCTGTAATATTTTATGTAATTTTATGTAATGTAGTGAACACACTTGACAGCAATTACCTGTGATGGAGGCATTTTGGTGTTGTAGGTGGAATGTTAAATGGAAGTATTATCATATTATTTGTCCATCACTAAATGCCTGGAAGTGCAATCACTACGCTTTACCGAAACTCTGAGGTGCTTTGAGATGTTATCAATGTTATAAATGTGATATCAAATGCAAGGATTATTACTATTAAATATTCAGTGAAGAACAATCTGTAAAGTATAATGTAAGGATTATTGTGAACCTATTGAGCATCATTTGCCTCCTTTCCTTTTTCAGATGGCAGATAGCACAGAAGTAATGAAAGGAATACAGAAACGACCACATGTACAGTACCCTGTATTAACACCAAACCTCCAAGGCTTTCATGCTGCAGTAAGTATATCCTGTTGCATACTTCTACTCTTGGGGTGAACATTGCTAAGGGTCCTGTGATGATTATCACATCATTGACAAATGTGAATTTGGTACTCATATTTTTTGTAAAATCAGTTCTTTGAAAGGGACTATATTTGGTGGATAAGATTATCAAGTGGAATGGTGAAGGGAAAGGGAAATGGCATTAAGTAGCAGATCAGACATGGATGGTAGAGCAGGCTAAATGCCATAATGATCTAACTCCTGTTCGTATTCTTGTATCTTATGATATATATCAACAACTGGCACACAAATCAATTCCACTGTGCTGAAGTTTGGGGTGGGGAGGGGGGGGAAGGGGTGTGGGTGTTAAAATTTATTAACTGACTTCCATCGTATGTATTAACAAAGTGATAATTTTATAGTCCTTTGGAAATAGCATCTTATAGTTGGGTGGAAACCATTATCATGCTTCAAGAGTCTCCAAGCTCAACTACTGAGAGTTCCACATATGTACGGTTTCCACTCGTCTGGAATGGAATGCACGTTCTTCCCAGAGGATGCACCCTGCCTACCTAATCCCAGAAATTATTAGAGCATATTGGCAAGAGCCAAAGCTTGGAGACCCCAGATAATGTGTTGGGGTATTACTGGAGTTTAACCAACTAATCAAGTAGATTACCATTTGCAAAAACTGTCCGGGAAGCTTCCTGCTGCATATCCAATTGAGATGACCTTAGTATTAGGGTTTTGGTTTGAGAGTTAATGGAATCTGAGTGGGGAAAAATCCCTATCTCCTGTAATTGATATGTTGTTTCATGTTCTGCTGATTAGCAAGACTGGCTGGTCAGTCATCCAAACTGCATGGAGTATTGTGAATCTGCCTGGTTCAGGATCCAGACTAATGAGTTTGCCACAGAGAATTGGCTTGATTCTGATCTTCCATTGTCGGGCAGGGCACCTTGCGCCATCTACTGTGACTAGATGTTGGCAAATATAACTTTAAATTGGAGAGTGCTCTTGGCAGGAAATCTCCCACATTGCTGTTATTTGTTGGCAGTCGGATGCATAACATTAAACGGATCCTCTGAAGCAAAACTATTTCAATACGTTTTCTTCTCACTTCAAAGCACTAATTGCCCACGTGCAGAGGTTTAAGTTATGTGAAGGGATCTGTTATAATGTCTGTTGTTGCAATTTTCCAGATCTTTGTTTCAACATTTCCCTTTTCCCCCTTTAGCTGCAATCACAAGTCAAATAGTTATTCCCATGCTCAAGAAACATTCAGTCACTCTGTGCGTCAGCTTACCTCAGTTGGTAATGCTTTCGCCCCTCAGTCAGAAGAGTTTGGGGAAGTTGAACTCATATGGTCTAAGATAATACTCCAATGCAGTCCTGGGTAGTGTCCCATTGTTGGAGGTGCCATGCTCTGGATAAAACTGAGGCCACGACTACTTATTCAGGTGGGCTTTGAAGATCCCTTGGTGCTATTGAAAAAGAGAAAGGTTTCTCCTGGTGTTCTGGTCAGTAATTTTGGTCAATAATATTGGTTATTCACTTATAAAAATAATAATAGTAATCCTTGCTTTTGATATAGCGCTTTTCACATCTTCTAGACGTCTCAGAGCTCTTCACGGAATATGCTGTGCAGTGAATTGACTGTATATTTATGGGTGAAACGTGGCAGCCAATTGCGCACAGCAATATACCACAAACAAACAGTCGTCGATCGAAAATTACCGATTTATTATTGTTTTGTTTTTTGGAGAGATTATTATCAGGCATATGGAGTAAGGAAACTTGCCCAAGGTTTCGCCCTGCGGGGAATTGAACCCAGGTTTCTTACTTGCAAAGCGGGTGCTCTAACCACTGAGCTACAGGACAACAACAACAACACTTCATGGCTGTTTGTGGAACATTGCTGTGTGCAAAGTGGCTGCCAGGTTTGCCTATAAAAATATACAGTCACTACAGTTCATAGTAAATCCTGTGAACCCCTTTGAGATATCCTCCTGATGTGAAAATGCAAGAATTATAATTTGCGGTTTTATTAATATAATTATTTACAAGCTTTTTCTGGTTTCAGCATTCAGGGATCGGTGTGTGTGTGTGTGAATATAAAATATATATGGGTCAGACTCCAACACTGTCAAGCGCTCTGGGATACAACCCAGGGTGAAGGGCACTATATAAATGCTAGCCTAGCACAATAAAAGTTGTGGTTGTATATCGGTCAACTAGGTCATAAGTTCAGTTCTCTTTTTCCAAAGCTTTGCTATTCATTTGTAATCTCTCTGGAGATTCCTTTTATTTTTGGTCAGCTGAGTATCTGACGCATGCAGAAACCCATCACTATGCTTAAGTGTATCCAAACCAGGCTGAGATTGCCATGCCAGATTCCAGAAATTATTAGGGACAGATTGGCAAGAGAAGAATGAGAGGTGATTTTATAGAAACCTATAAGAATATTAAGGGGCACGACAGAATAGATAGTGGGAAACTTTTTCTCCTGGTTGGAGAAACTATAACCAGGGGTCACAGCCTTAAAATTAGGGGTAAGCCCTTTCACATTGAGTTGAGGAAAAACTTTTTCACTCAGAGGGCAGTGAATTTATGGAATTCTCTACCCCAAAGGGCTGTAGATGCTCAGTCCTTGAACATATTCAAGACTGAGATTGATAGATTTCTTGTGGATTAAGGGATATGGGGATAACCCGGAACATCGCCAGACTACGGCATTACCTCACCCCTCACGCTGCTGAAACCCTGGTTCACGCCTTTGTCACCTCAAGGCTGGACTACGGGAACTCTCTCCTCGCCGGCCTTCCGCCACCTCCCTCCACAAGCTGCAGGTCATTCAGAACTCTGCAGCTCGTGTACTGTCCTGCACCAGGCTTCGGGACCACATCACTCCCACCCTCGCTCGCCTCCACTGGCTCCCCATCCCCCAGAGGATTGATTTCAAGATCCTCATCCTCACCTACAAGGCCATTCACGGCCTCGCTCCCTCCTACCTCTCCAACCTACTATCCCCCTACCTACCTGCCCGTACCCTCCGTTCCTCCGGCTCCGGTCTGCTCCACGTCCCCCACCCCAACCGCCCTACCATCGGTGGTCGGGCCTTCAGCCTCTCAGCCCCCAGGCTCTGGAACTCCATCCCCCAGTGCCTTCGCCGCTTCCTCCCTTTCCTCCTTCAAGGCCGGTCTCAAAACCTTTCTCTTTGACCGTGCCTTCAGCTCCCCTCTCGACTCTCTTCCCCCTCCTCGCTCCCTCCCTTCCCTCCCCTCACCCTGACCATTTCCCCCCTCCTTGCTCCCTCCTTCCCTCCCCTCACCCTGACCATTTCCCCCCTCCTCGCTCCCTCCCTTCCCTCCCCTCACCCTGACCATTTCCCCCCTGCTCGGGTCATGACCCAACTGTGCAGCGCCTTGGGACGTCCTCCTGACGTGAAAGGCGCTTTATAAATGGAATCTTGTTGTTGTTGTTGTTGTTGTTGATAAGGCGGGTAGGTAGAGTTAGAATAGATCAGCCATGATCTTATTGAATGGTGGGGCAGGCTCGAGGGACCGAATGGCCTATTCCTGCTCCTAATTCTTATGTTTTTATGTTCTTATGTTCTAAGAGCCAAGGCTTGGGGACCCAGAGTGTGCAATGGGGTACTGCGAGAGTCTAACCAGCTAAAACCACATAGCTTGCCATTGATGTTGCTATCTCATAGGCTTTCCCGCTGCTTGTCCAGCTAGGACCACCCTAACTGTTAGGTCTTTGGCTTGCAGTGTTAACAGGAGCTAAGTGGGATGACTCCCTACCCCCATTGACTAGTCTGCCCTTCCAAGGCCTGCCGATGAGCCAGCTGGGGCAAGACCACCACAGAGGGCTGGCTCGATTTCGACATTCAGTTGCCAGCCAGTTCAGCTCCAACGAATGTCCATATATAGGTGGGATGCATGGAAACTGCTCAAATGAAGGCACCTGATTCCGTGTTTTAAATGCGTTTGGTTTTGTGAAAAAATATTATCGTATGCAAGTCGAATTCAATAAATGTTGGAAGTTTAAAAAGATGCTTTGATTTTATAAAAGGATGATTACCATTGTTTGACCTCAGGTTAAAGCGGGTGCAAAGGAAGTGGCCGTCTTTGGAGCTGCCTCTGAAACATTCAGTAAGATGAACATTAATTGCTCCATTGAGGAAAGCATGCAAAGATTCGAGAAGGTGATCAGTTCAGCAAAAGACGCTGGCATCCCAGTTCGAGGGTATGTATGAGTGTTTTACCTCTGCCAATCATTGATCTGGACTTAATAATTCTATTTCTGCAAGTAACCAAATACCTGTGTATGGTTATTGGTGCAACAAGCCTTTTATTTCATATTCACCTATTACTAGGACACTGGAGTCCAACGTATACTTATTGTTAAAATTAATGATTTTTTTGCTACGTTTTTAGAATGAGAGAGGGGCGAACATTGTGATCTGTGATGTACTGATTCTCACTGGTGATAATTATCACTTTGTTGATAGTCGCGGGTAATACAGTCAACTGAAAGTACCTGACGGTGGTGTCTTCTCTGTCCCCTCTCGCTTGACTCTGTCACAGTGGTTGGCCAGGTGCTTTCTAAACAAGAGATGTTGCAAACGGAGTCGCCTTCCAGTAACTGGGAGTAAGTCACGTTGGCCCACTGGAAATCCTCTTTGGATGTAGATTGTTTTACTGAAAGAAGTTGCATCTTCAGCCACCTTCTGCCTACACTCATCCCCCTCTTTACAGTTCAGGCTCCCATTCGATCTTTGCAAATCCTTTGAGCCATTCTCCTCTGTGAAAGGTGAAATATAAGTGCAAATTGAACTCGTAAAAGATTGTCATGTCTGACACTCCAACGCACTGTTGTTGGAGGTGACGTCCTTCAGCTGAGACACTAAACCTAGGTCCAGTCCACCTGTTCAGGTGGATGTTAAAGATCCCATGGCATTAATCAAAAAGAGGAAGAAGTTTTCTCCTAGTGTCCTAGCCAACAAATGCTTCCAGATTAAATTGGTCACTCACTTGATGGCTGTTTGTGGGACTTTGCTATGTGTGAATTGGCTGCTGTGTTCATCTACAAAATACACAGTCAGTCCACTTTGCAGCGAATATTATGAAGTGCTTTGAGATGTCCTCTTGATGTGAAGTGTGCAATATCAAATATAAGGATTATTATAATCATAAGTTATTGTCATTGGAATCATCAATAGCGACTGCTCAATTTAGGGGAAACTGTCCATTGCAACATTTTTGGAGACACGTCATTTGGTAAGATAATTTGTATAATGTGGGACACTTCAGGACAATACTCTCCTTCCCATGGATCCTCATCTTACGCCATACCAAGTATACAAGTTGTTTACTTCTGTTAATTACAATGCCAAATATGTAAACATTTCCATTGCTGACCGATTGCCTGGTTAGAAATAAATGTGAACAGTAATTTACAATGCACTGCGATCACCACAAGTCGAAGGTCAGAGTTCAGTAAATTTAAAGGTCACATACTGACAGCTTCCAACAAATATTTCCTGAAGTGTTTGAGGTTGTGTTCCGAATGCTCTTGACCAACATTCTTTTTTCAACATCCTGTTGAGAAAAGTTATCGAAATAGTCTTAAAAAGGTGTTTGCTTTTTAACCATGTGGTGGTCATTTGTGCTGTGAAAACTGTGTGAAGAAATTAATAGTAACAACAATAATAAAAATAATAATCTTGCATTTGAAATGGTACCTGACCACTTCAGCGAAACAGGGTTTACTGTGAAGTGTAGTACTGTGTGTTTTGAAAGTGAATAGCAAAAAAACACAAAGGCTGCTAAATTGCTATTTTTTTCTATATTTGTCTCGGGATGTGGGAGGCACTGGCCGGGGATATTTGTTGCCTATCCCTGGTTGGCCTGAGAAAGTGGTGGTGCGGTCTTCTCATTAAAATCCTACAGTCCTTTCTGGACTGGTTTAGGGTCAGGAGATCGGGGTTAACTGCTTCTTTGGGCCTTGATTGGTCACTGGAACACAAAGGTGATCTAAGATCCTCCAGAAGGTCCACCCAGCAATCCCCCCACAAACAACCATAAAGTGAATGACCAAAGCTCAGTTTCTCTATAGAAGAAACAAACTCATTTAATTTTCCACACACACTGAGTCATGTTGTTGAGGCCACATGTTTACTGCAACAGTCCCGGTATTGAACTGAATCAATAGATGCCAACTGTATTGTTACTTTGAGTGGAGTCTTTTCTATTTAACCTGAACAAAGTTGATGAACCTAAAGCTTAATAGATTGGCAAGGGAAATGCCAAGCAGAAGGGCATAGTGATTTCTCACTTACCATGGGAAGGGGAGGTTAAGTAGAAAGACATTGTGCTTTATTTCAGCAGCAACAATCTATCTGGGATCTTGGCAAGAGGAAAAATCTCCAGTCAGAGGTGCTGTGTTGGGTGAAGTACTACATTGTGAGAGGTGCTGTGTTAAGGAGAGCGCTATGTTGTCAGAGATACTGTGTCAAGGAGAGAGCACTATATTTTCAGAGTTGCTGTGTCAGAGAGTAGTACATTATGGGAGGTGCAGGATACTGACCCATCACTATGCTTAAGAGTATCCAAACCAGGCTGAGATTGCCATGCCAGATTCCAGAAATTATTAGGCACTGATTGGCAAGAGAAGAATGAGACGTGATCTTATAGAAACTTATAAGATTATTAAGGGGCACGACAGAATAGATAGTGGGAGACTTTTTCCCCTGGTTGGAGAAACTATAACCAGGGGTCACAGTCTTAAAATTAGGGGTAAGCCCTTTCACATTGAATTCAGGAAAAACTTTTTCACTCAGAGTCTATCGGGATCAGTAAAGTGTCAGGGGTGCTGTGTCGGAGGGAGCACTACATTGGCAGATTTTAGATTACCTTTACAAATTATTTACTGGGTGTTAATGTGCAGTTTTATTTTCAGCCCTCCTCCCTCCTCCAATTTCCTTGGTGTCCCCTACATTAACCTGTGCGACCTGAAGGATTGGAAGTGCTGTGCTCCCTGTCTTTGTCAATACAACCAAGTGTTGGGAACAGGTCATCTCTCAGGCACACGTCCTGTTGTTCACAATGAGGAGTTTTGTGGTCCCTTTGTTGACAATTCTTGATGGTACTCCCATAATAATAATAATAATCCTTGCATTTGATATAGCGCCTTATCGCCTCATTGGGATGTCTCAAAGTACTTCACAGTTATCACAAATAACCACTTCCTGATGGTATTCCCAAAATTGGGGGCTAGCCAGTTGTGGATAAATTAAACACAATCTCTATCACATCATGGCACCGTGTGTTGCCTATGAGTTAGTGCAACCTGCCAACCCCTAAAGCGACTTCTGTATCCAATAAAAGTATTCCTTTCAAAATGAAAATATTTTATAATAATAGAGTAATAATCCTTGCATTTGATATAGCACCTCATCACGTCTTTAAGACATCTCAAAGCGCTTCAGGGTATACTGTAAAGTGAAGTGACTATATTTTGCAGGCGAAACACAATAGACAATTGCACACAACAGTAGCCCACAAACAGTTCTGGATCGAGTTACCACATGTTTTTTTTGAAGGGATTTTATAACAAAGTGTAACAACTGGATGTAATAAGCAGTCATTTCACCTAACGTACATGAAGCTAACTGCTCTCTATAGTAAAGATGTTTTAAAAAATGCCGGAAAACATCTGGATTCTATCTTTGTACTGACCACAAAGCCAAATAAATGTCACACTCACCCCCCCGCACCCCCCACCCCCAACCAGGTTGCAAACTCTACACTTACTTACTCTACCTAGATTTGCTACATCTGTCTGAATTGTTCCCAACATTGTGTCAGCTGTATAGTTTCTTAATAGACGGTAGATGTTTATGAGCTTTTGATAACTGAAAGGGGGTCTTATCAGTCCTACTTGAGAGAGTTTGCTTTCTGACAAGCAGTGTTTAAACAAACGGTTGCATTAATGCAGCATCCTAAATAAACAGCAGAGCGGAATACCAGGAAAGATTAAATAAACAATTTTGGGGTCGACCTTTTGGAAACTTACAACATCTCTGATAATTATGTTCCTATTTGAAAGAGGATATTTTATTTTTGAAATCAGCCGTGTGCAAACTGCGGTGTCAAAGAACTCAAGTTTGTACTAAATAGTTTCAGTTCACTACAATTCGTTAAGTTAATGCAACATCCTGAGTAAAGAGCAGAACGAATTTGACATTTTCGTGCACGCTGAGATGTATTTCAGTTTTAACTTTTATTGATTGTAACGGAATTCCTCAGTTGCATTTATACACATGAATGGGATGCAGTGATTTATACCTGCTGTCATACTGAATATGAAAGTTTTTGAAGCTGTAATTAATTTAAGAGGGCACAGTATATGCATTTTAATAGAATTGCATAGAATATTACAGCAAAGATGCAGACAATTCGTCCCATTTATTCCATGCTGGTGTTTTTTCTCCAGACTAACTTCCACACCTCCTATTCCCCTCTCCTAATACCCCTCTATTCCCTTCTCCCTCATGTATACAACAAGTTTCCTGTTAAAATATGTTGATGCGTTTTCCTTTTTACTTCAACCACAGCTCACAGCAGTGAGTTTCACATTCTTGGGCAGGTTTTCTTACTACACACACATACACACACACCTTTGTTTATGTAGCAGTGAGTAGGTATCCGGTTGTTGGTCGATTGGCGGATCGCTTTCTATGGGGGTAATAATCCCTTAAAAAACGTAATAATAATAATTTGGTCACTCAGTCCACAACTGTTCGTGGGACACTGCTGTACATAATTGGCTGCTGAGTTTCGCCCACAAAATATAGTCAATTCACTTTACAATATATTCTGTTAAGCGCTTTGAGACATCTCGAAGATGTGATGAGGCTATGTATCAAATACAAGGATTATTATTATTATTATCGCCACCCTCTTAAACTCCCTTTTAGATCTGCTACTGGCTATCTTATATTATGGTATCACAAATAATATTGGTCACTCACTCCTTGGATGGCTGAGAGATATTTTTGTGTGCAAATTGGCTGCTGCATTCACCCATAAAATACAGTCACACCGCTTTACAGTATGTCATGTGAAGCTCTTTGAGACAACTCGATGATGTGATAAGGTGCTATATCAGTGGCAAGGACTACTAATAATAATGTAAATAATTCTATTGTCTCTATTGAAATAACAGGTATGTATCCTGTGTAATACAGTGTCCTTACGAAGGAAATATTGAACCAACAAAAGTAGCAGAGGTAAGAAATACAGATTATGTCACACTTATGATGAAACTCTTTGTCAGAATTGCTTTCACCGTTTTTTTTCCTCATACTTTCTTCCATCCTCTCTTCGTCTCTGAAAGGTCTTTGACTGCATGGTATTCCTTTTTTTAAAAAACCTGCATAATAGTGAGATGATACTGGCATAAGCAGAATGCAGCCTGTCTCTTTATTGGGGGTCAGCCAGTGTCCATCACCCTGCTTAAGAGCATTCAAACCCAACTGAGAATTTCAGGCCATTCCATTGCGTGTTCCTGATTGCCTGAGAAGGTTATGGGGGTGGTGATGGAACCATTAGGGTTAGGGTTAAGGTTAGGGTTAGGCAATGGTCAAATGCAATGTTGTTGGGTTGGGGGACTCCATGATTTTGACCAAGCGATGCTGAAGGATCAGCACTGAGTCAGGTAACAGTGAGTGACTTGGAGGAGAACATAACAGTGGTGATGACCACTGCTCTTGTTCACCAGGATGGTGCAGTGCATTCTGTAAACACTCCAGGAGTTTTGTTCCTGGAAGTCACCCATTGCCTGACCAAAGCGATTATTGTTCATGGGACGTGCAGAACCTGAAGTATTCTTGCTCTGAAGACTGAGGATGTGACCTGGCTTCTGCAAGCACTTTAAAACCATGTGGAAGTTTGGAAAAGTTCTAATTGGAAGCCATTTTTCCACAGTTCTATAAAACCGGCTTCTGATTTAAGATAAAATTTAGGAATTTTCCTAAAATTCTGCACTGTCGTACATTTTAAGACAATGGTCTTAAGCATTAGACCGTGTGAAATTCAGTAGTCTGATTCTATAGCTATTTATCGGAAACACAAAACTGTGTCAAAAGTTAATTAAATATATTTGAATGATATTATGCAGAGTATATAGAAGCCGACTGAATTATAAGTTGTACTGGTGTATTATGGTCCACTTATTAGTATGGTAAACTGTGTACACTTCTGGCTTCCAGTTCTGACTAGCTGGCTTCCTGCACTTGACGTGCTTGCACAGCACTCAGGTAGTGATGTCAGTGTCACTTTGCACACCAAGTGACCTCAGTGGTGTTTTTTTCTGCTCGTGTCAAATCCCTGACTGTCCAGTGCCTTGGGACATCCTCCCGACGTGAAAGGCGCTGTACAAATGTGAGTTGTTGTTGTTGCTCTTCACACACAGTGAGTGATATGGCAGTATTCAGGAATTGACATCAGCCGTGACCTAACAACTCAGAAGTGCTGACTGGCAGCCATTTTTATTTGAGCACGACTTGTTATAACTCAGGGTCTGAATTTGAGGACCCAAACTACCGCGTTATGACCGGATCAGTCTGTGCATTGGTCTGCAATAACAGCTCAAGATATCTGCTTGTTATTTTATTTTTGAAGTCAGTGAAGGAATTACGTTTAACCTTCAGGTTGCCAAACGGATGTACAGCATGGGTTGCAATGAGATTTCCTTGGGGGACACGACTGGTGCAGCGACCCCTGGAAGCCTGAGAAAACTGCTGGAAGTGGTGATGAAAGAAATTCCCAAAAGTGCCCTTGCAGTTCATTGTCACGACACCTACGGCCAGGCTCTGGCTAACATCTTGCTGGCCTTACAGGTAAGCTCAGGTAACACCTGAGGTTGATAAACACCAGACATTGCAACAGTCACTTTATCAAATGCAAGGCTTTATTTTTGAAAAATGTTCTTCAGAAAAGTGCATTGCAGTGTCAGCCATGATCCGCTATGTGAGGTCCACTTGCTCTACATAGCACTGTTCACAGAGATTAAAGTGGTGGTAGTTGTCATGGTGGTGGGGAAGGGGAGTGGGGTGGACATAGTGAGTGTAGGCAGGGAGTGGCAGAAAATGCATCTTCTTCCAGTGAAACAATTTACATCCGAAGAGGAGTTCCAGTGGGCCGATGTGACTTACTGGAAGGGGAAACAAAAACAGAAGTCGCTTCAGGCACCATTTGTAGAGAAAGAAAAGTGAGTCAACGTTTCAGGTCCACGACCCTTCGTCAGAACTGGGGCATGTTGGGAGGGAGAGGCTTTCAAGAGTTAACGGAGAGGGGGGAAGCAGGGCAAGGAAGACAAAGGAGAAAATGGGATAGAGGACGGGATGATGGGTTAAAGAGGGGTTAATGATGCAAAACAAAAGGGAGGGATTTCCATCATTCTTTGTCCTCTACCCCAGTCGATCGCGCCTTCCTCCTCCACCGACTTTCTCTCCGTCTTTCACCTCAGTGGGACCGCACTCGCCTGGGTCTAGTCCTACCTCACGAACCGCCAGCAGTACTTCTGCACCAACGGCTTTTCCTCCCGCTCTCACCCAGTTACCTGTGGAGTACCCCAAGGATCCATCCTTGGCCACCTCCTCTTTCTGATCTATATGCTCCCTCTTGAGGATGTCATCCACAGATATGGGGTACATTTCCACATGTACGCAGACAACACCCAACTCTATTTTTCCACTTCACTTTGCGACCCCCAGTCCCCTGATGTTCTGTCAGGCTGCCTGTCAGACATCAGGAGCTGGGTGAACGCGAATTTTCTTCAGCTGAATGTTGACAAGATGGATGCCATACACTTTGGCTCTCGTGAACGTCTAAAATTGCATACTTCTCATTTCCTCCACCTACCCGACTTCCCCCTAAAACTCTCCGAACCTGTACGCAACCTAGGCATCAGGTTTGACCTCCAATTATCCTTGCTCCCCCACATCCGGTCCCTCACCACAACCGCTTTCTTCCACCTCTGACGCATCGCCTGTCTCTGCCAATAGCTCTCTCCAAAAGCCGCTGAAAACCTGGTCCATGCCTTCGTCACCTCTCGGCTGGACTACTCAAACGGCCTCCTCTCCTGTCTCCCCTCCACTACCATTCATAAAATCCAGATTATTCAAAACTCTGCCACCCACATTCTTACCCGCACCAAACTCCGCTCCGGAGTTTGCATTTCTAACCTTGCATTCAAACCTACAAGCTCTGTTGACTGTGTGGCTTAGTTGTTATACTGATGCAATGCCTTAGGGAGATGTAAGCAAGCATTTCTAGAGTGGTTTTCCCATTGTAAACTCACAGGGCTTTGTGAATTTATTTAACTGCAGAGAGTGAGGTTTTCTGAGTTGCCATGGTTTGAAGGACGGCACCTTCTCCAATGCAACATTTCTCCCAGCACTGTATTTGAGTGCCAGCCTAGACTTTCGGTCTAAAGTTCCAACATGGGGCTTGATTTCACAACCTTCCAACTTAGATTGACCCAGACTGACAAATTGATAGCATTACTGGTGCTTTGCCACCAGAAAGAGCCTCCTCGCAATGTATGCTGATGTTTCTGCCCAGCACAACTCACAAGAGCCTGGGCTACCAAGAGCATGTTTACTCTATGTATATACATTGGGAACCTTGCATTCAAACCTACAAGCTCTGTTGACTGTGTGGCTCAGTTGCTGTACTCGTGCACTGCCTTAGGGAGATGTAAGCAAGAATTTCTAAAGTGGTTTTCCTATTGTAAACTCACAGAGTCGGGCTTTGTGAATTTATTTAACTGCAGAGTGAGGTTTTCTGAGTTGCCATGGTCTGTAAATTTACTGATCTTCAGAGAATAGTCCATCTGGAGAAATTCCGCCTGGGATTTGTTCCATTTAAGTAGCATTTTGCAGCTACTAGAATTTGGCAAATTCTTCAGTTACAACCTTAACTTTGAAATGAAGACTCAATTCAACAATTTGCCGAATTCTGGACGCTCTAAAATGCTACACAAATAACTTCAAGTTAGACCCAATGGGATTTTGTCAGCTCGCTGACATATTTAAAGATGAATAATATTCTTGGAGTGATCATTTCAAGTTGAATTATAGTAGTCATCTTATAACCTACTCCCGGCATCCTATCCCACCACTGTGCAGTACTCCGAGACTCTGTCCCGTGTGAAGGGGATTTTATGAATGCAAGTTGTTGTGTTTTAAGAGCTAGCCTATAATAATGTCAATCCTTGTATTTGGCATAGTTCGTGATCACGTCATCAAAACACTTCACATGATTCAATGTGAAATGGAGTGACTGTATCTGTATGAGAACCAGTCAATTTACGCAGAGCAATGTCCCCGCAAGCAGTCATGAAGTGAATCACCAAAGTGATTGGGGGATTGTTGTCAGGACTATGAACTCAAGTCGTCCTGATGTGGGGCTTGAACCCACAATCTTCTTACCCGGAGGTGAGTGCTATTTATTGAGCCAACTGGCATTAGGATAGATTAGAGTAGTGAGCTGCAGTGGAGGAGTGAACACCTGTTTAGGCTGCAGGGGGAAGAACAAATGACCTCCTTATGTGCTGGCGTTTCTTGGATTCTATGAATTGTGAATCGCTCAAGTATTATTTTGACTGTAATAGACTCTTAAGGTTGCAACGTACACAAAATCCGTTTTGTTCTCAAAGACAATGTTAATTGCGAGTTTGGTGAAAGACAGAGTGGTTTTGCGGGGACATCTGCTGTTTCGTTCGATGAAAACACAGCTTGTTACGTGAAAGCGTATTTCAAAAAGTGTGTAATATGCCTGACAACACTAAGGAAGCCTTATAGAAGATTTTATTTAAAAAGAGCAGGCCTCAAATTGAACTCCTGGCTTAAATTGCCAAGGTTTTTGTGAAGCTTTTGTGTTTCTTTCACAGCTTGCCTTCCCCAGGAGTGAAGCGGTGCTTTATAGGGGATTCAACAGGTCAGCAGATGTGAAGGAGAGAGACAAAGGTTCACCTATTCAATGTCGGTGCACATGACAGCTATATGTCTTTCTCACTGCATTCAAGTTCAGGATAGAATAGACCCTTAAGGGCTTCTGCTTTATCTATCTGTGAGCTGTTGAGCTGTATGATGGGCCTTTGCCAGATTGTCAGAAAATGATCCTTTCATTAACCCAGGACAACAGAAACACATGGCAATAGGATACGAGCAAAGGACCTGAACACTGAAAAGCTTTCGCATGAACTCAATAGCGGCCCAAACCTCCAGGCAGATTATAACTTTTTTTTGTGTGATGAGATAGTACAAATGACAGAGGAACCAGGTAGTTTGCAAAGCGGGGAGTGTAAGAGGCCCACTGTTTAACGCACTGATAGATGTGCGATGACGCAACAGTCTCCTACACCTGCTGCTATCCCCAGTCGCTCCTGCCTGAGGGGGAAGCTGGTTAATGTGAAACTGGAAACTGTATGGTAGCTGGATGGTCGTTTGGACAGTAAGACTTGCACTTGCACCATTCACACAGGGATCCGGCTGCACTGAAAACCCTGGGCGTCCAGCACTTTATCAATCAAAATGCAATTATTCAACTGGAAACAGCTCTCCATCACTCTAGGTGCAAGCCCCAGTCACTAACTCCTTCCCCATGCCGTTCCTCTACTCTGTAACTCTGTTTTGTGCATCAGTCCCAGTGGGACATTGCTTTCAGGAAATGTCAAAATTTGCAATTCCTGCGAAGGAGAAAACATGGAGAATATAGTAATAATAATCCTTGCATTTGTTACAGCGACTTATCACGTCTTCGATACATCTCACAGAACTTCACAGAATAAAGTGAATTGACTGTATATTTTGTGGGCAAAATGCGCAGCCAATTGCAGACAACAGTGTCCCATAAACAGTCGTGGATTGAGTGACAAAATTATTATTATTTATTTTTGGAGAGATTATTATCCTGGAAAAGCGATCGGCCAATTGACTAATAACCAGGTTCCAACTTACTGCTAGGTAAACAGAGGCATGTGGAGTAAGGAAACTTGTGCAATGTTTTGACCTTCCAGGACCTCTCGATTGCGAGGTGAGTACTCTGATCACGAAGCTACAGAACTTCACAATAATGAGGAAAGGTACAGGTAGCTTTCCTATCACAGCCCAGGCTTTCTCCATCTTTTTGATACTCTGGAATTAAATGCTAAGTTATTTGCTGCAGTTGACTGGCTCAGTTTCTTTTTAAAATGTGTGGACCATCGATGATTGAGCCTGTTTGGTTGCTCAATAAACATAATAATAATCTTTGCAATTGGTATTGCACTTAATTATATCAAAACATTTCAAAGCTCTTCACTGGATTTACTGTAAAGTGTAATGGTTGTTTTTTTCCAATTTGCACACAGCAGTGTCCCACAAATAGCCATGAAGTGAGTGACCAAAATGTTTTGAGGGATTGTTGGCCAGGATAGCAGGAGAATGGGGAGTGAATTAGAGTGTCAGCTTTAGACGATGTGAATGCAAAGTCCCAATGTGAGTCTTGAACCCACAACCTTCTAACTCAGCAGCAGGAGTGCTAGCCAGGCTGACAGCCATTTGGGAAAGTGTCCAAAAATGGAACAAAGCTAAACAGCCACAGATTATGCAAACGGCAGATGCGTGAAACCGTGACTAATGTTGGCTGAGTGACTTTGGACAACGTTGTCTTTTGTGCTGTTGACCTGGGGTGTCATACATTTATTTAATTAACAGTCTGAGATGAAGTTCAGCAGGAAGCGTGGAGCTCAACTCTTAGTCATGTCTGTTTCTGTCTTTGAATGCAAGTAATAACATTATTGGCATTGATGAAAATAGTAGATATAAGGAGATGTGGTTCTCAAAAATAACTT